CGTAACAATAACATATCGCTGTAATCATGTGTTCTCCTTTATGGTTGTTTATTTTCAAGGCAATAATTACAAATTTTTGAGTAAATAAAAAGAGATTATTCTAAAATTAATCCAGGAAGTATATAATATGATTTGATCATACCCCAAACACAGGGTATCAAGAAATATTTTGGGTGTGTCCATTTGGAGGTTGTAATAAAATTAGTTTTTTAAACATGCGATCTCCTTTATGCATATATCTAGTGTAGATACTTAAATTATGTCATTTTGTTAAATCGTTATACACAACAGACAAGACATTTGTTGTTATCAATAACTGAAAGGGTAAGAGTAAATTACATTCTTCAATAAAAAATCACTGAACATGTAATTGCATGAACTCCGTCATGTGTGTTTACCTTTACTTCAATGAGGAATATATATAGTGTATAATGCTTTTTCCACCATATTTAGTTTCCACTATGTGCTGATGATTTGGATAGGGTAGATCTGAAATGTATTTGTCACGAATCAATTCATTTTCCTGCAAGAAAAGTCTTTGAAAGTGCGATTACATAACGGGTGTGTATCTCTTTAACTGTATAACTAACATTCAAATGGTGTGAGTGGTGGAACTTTTAGGTTTAAATGACCAATAAATTACAAAGCTAAATCTGTGAGAAATAATTAAGGGTCTATTTATAAAAATAGATAACAGGGGACATGATGAGAGGCATGTAAAGGAGTTTTACAGAACGGGTAAAGGAGATCACCATTTTAATTCAACTCCTTATATGTGCTTTGCACTTCTTAGTATAATGCCACATTATAATAAAAACTTACTTTTATGATCTGTGGAAGTAGTGCAGTACAAAATAACTTCTTATTAGCCTGCTATTGCTGGATTTACTGGAGAATTGTAAAGGAGATCACATTAATTTCTACACCTGTCTTTGATAATATACACAGGTGGTATGCATTTCGGTGATGGGTTTCATATTTGTATTTTTAGAATGGATGATAAACAAAGTTGGCATCTGAAATATTGTCACAGAAAAAAAGGCAGCAGAAGGGGAAACCTTTTTACAATTTGTTTTTTGCCTTTTTATTCTAGGTACAATAAAATCTGGTAAAGGAGAACACATTTAAAACAGTAGTCATCTTCATCAATGTGGAAAAATATGCTAGGTTTTTGTCACAAGGTTTTTTAGTAGTTATGTTTCAAAGAACTGTATAAATCATACTTATAGGAGATTTTTTCAACATTTTCCAGTTGAAAAATAGACACTTAAGAAAGCCTGGCCCTTAAATACTATGGCCTCTAATTAGGTTCAAAATGATGCTCATATTCCCTTTGTTAGCACATAACTTGTATTAAAATTATAATATTTTAATAAAGTATATTCATAACCAATTACTATTAGTTGAATACAAAAAAGTTATAAACATTTTTATTAATTTACATATTTAATTTCATAATTGTAGTCACAAAATTCTGATTTTATAGTCAGATGTCTAACATTATGTTGTAATTCAGTTTACTGTAATTCTAAATCTTGTGACCACCTGTTAATTTAATTATAACAAACTATATGTGGTGATATCTATCACCTGTCTGACATCAAAGCCTTCAACACATGGGCTTAACATACCTCTTTTTTTTTATTACACTTCTGATGTTATAACTTGTAGAGGAATGTTGTTAAATATTGGACCTAAGATATACTGTGATAAAACAATCACAAAGCTTAGGTGTTTTTAGTCCAAAACTGTAACAAAAGTTGGGTCCAATGCTGGACCAAACACTTCTTTGTGTTTTCATATCATCTCTGTTACTTTTTGTACTTTTTTCTTAATATTTCTAGGTCTGATATCAATGGAGAATAGTGCTGATTTTCCCATGGCCATGATGCTCTAGATCAATAGGCCTGATGCTATGACACATCATACAAGTTTTATATGAAGCCACAAAGATGAAGTTTTAATTTTTCTTGTTATGATTTTCTCTGCTAATTGTGCAAAGAAAAATATAGAAAGATTCAAACAAAACTAGGGGTTCCTTTTAAAGTTCTTTGCTCTTTCTCATAATTATATACTACTTCAAATGAATACACTGATATGTATAGTTGTGGCAATTTATGGTTCAGTATAATTATTAAAAGGGTTTCTTTTTCAGTGATTAATTAGACTTACATATAAGTCAGTGACTAAGTAATAATAAACAAATGTTATTTGTTCCTTTGACATAGAAATATATAAATACTGAAAACTATGTATAACTTAACAGATTTTTAGTGTCGTAAAATATAATTCATCAGTTGCTAACTTTGTTGCAAGTATTTCCAAACATGGTAATTGTTGAAACTTTACTTGACATTTTAAAAATTACTTAATATTAAGAAATACACATCTAATGAAAGTAATACAAAACTATTAAACTTGCAGTTCTTTTCAATTTTCTATTTTTTTTACATGTAAGAATTGTAATAACATGAATATTAATTGGGTTAGCCCACAAAACTAATGGTGTGAGTTCTGCATGGAACTAAACTGAGTGAATTAATACTTTTTATTTAAAAGTTTATATATAGAGAGAGCATTGAACAGTACATAGCTATTAATATTCATGTAAAATACCAAGTTTTAGTATGTTATAGCTACTAACCAAAAAATTATGTATTATTTCTACAGAATATGGACAAACAGAAATGTATTTCATATATAAAAAAAAACATATTTTAAGGCTGAAAGGATTTACTAACTTGTGTACAGAAGCCTATTACATGTAGTAAGTTATCTACATGAAAAAATTTTCATTATGCTTGTACGTCATTGTTTGTCAATTTACTACAGGATTTACTAAGAATTTATTAAAGTGTTTTGTTGTTTAAAAAAATATGATTGTGTTGATTTACTTTACAATATTTTTGGTTGTGACAATAAATATTGTTACATACTTGGTGAAACTCCATAATCACAGAATTGAGGAAAAAAAAAATAACAAAGACAAAAACTTCATTTATTAATGATCATGATTTTGGCAGTAAAGGCATCATCTGGTACCTAATGATGCATTTACTGGCAAAGCCATAAGTAAATGAAGTTTGGAGAAATGTACATCTGTCTTTGTTTTTTTTTTCCTCAGTTCTGTAAATACTGTTACATTTGTTTGTCTTCAGTCTGGACTAGACCTTATATATGTTAAAGAATGCAAACAATTTCTAAATGCACACATATCATTTTCATTTTTTTAATAAAAGCTTACCCAATAGCCCAACTGTGTATAGTTGAACATCTAGGCTAGTATTTTAATCATACATGTTTGCTGTAATAAAATAATAAGATATAATTGCATTAAAGCCAATCATCCTAACACCAACATAACTAAAGTTGTATATTATCTATACCCAGTTATCCACCCACTTATCACACAACAGTGATATAAAAATAGAAGAATAGTCCATGTGTAATAAGATACAAACCTTAAAGATGTACATTCCACAAAATATTTAAAAGATATTAAAACTATGACAGAGCAAAAATGGCTGTTACAAAACAGTCAATCACCCCTCAGTCCATTTTTATGCATATCAGGAACACAACATTATGTGATCCAAAATGTAAGTCATTCAATGTGTGAACATTTGGTCCAAGTGGTTTTATCATAAAGTTTATAGTTAATGAAATGTCACTCCAATATGGTGTTACCATTTCTCTGAAAAAGTTGTTTCCAGAGCATATTTAGTGGTTGAAATCACTTATTCTCACAAGCACCCCACATTTCCAATGATACCAAAAACTGGCAAACATGCAGTCCACTCTATCAACTTGGTTTTCCCATTTTCTTTCAAAGAATGTGTCAATAAGTTTAGCATAGGTGAGGCAGACTTAGTCATACATTATGCTGAAGTTAAGGCTAGTAGCACCAGCATATGGCAGCACAAAGAGTCATAGGATGTTATCCCTGTATTATAAATTATTAGCAGTGTCATTCCACGGGATGTAGAAGTTCATATATTCATCACTGCTAATACAATTAATATCATACTTCCACCATGGCAATGCTTCAAGATGCTACATAAAAAATGAAGATGGATCCAGTCCATAATTTATTTAAATGAGTACACACATCTTATGTGGTTTCAAGATGAAATATTGCTATGCGTCATTTGTCCTCTGGATATGTTTTTGGCACCATTACAACCAAGCTGTTTTGTATTTTGTTGTGAATGGTATGCATCTCAATGAGTATCTGTCATAAAGGCTAACAATGTGAAGTTTATTTCTAACCATCTATACAGTGACATGGCACCCAGATGTGGATGCAAACAGTTGATTCAGGCTTTGAGCAGGTACCCTGTGATTGTGGGAAGCCAGAACTGACCTATAGTAGTGATCTGTTTTTGTTGTATATTATGATCTACTTCATCCAATTATTAGAACAATAGTACCATTAGTCTGGAAATGGTTCCAAATTTTTCTAACCACGCACTAAGATACTTATGCTATAGCCATGTTGTAACAGCCAAATATGAATAGTTGGTTTCCAGTTGTTTGATGACTCCATGTGAGTGAAATATCCAAGGACCTTCTTTGAGATCCCAGCTTATTTTATGATTAATGTCAAGTACTAAACTGTGATTCACTTCAAGATGAAACTACTAAATACAGCATAGGCTGAATAACCAATCATTATATTTCAGAGTCCATGACTGTTTATCAGATATCTTATTCCTTAACTATGATAATTAACTCTGCAATGTGGTTTCAATGTCCTTGGAGAAAGAGATAGAGGTATATGATCAGCAGGATCCATTGGAGGATGAGACGTGGACACACCAGCAGAAGCCCCTTTTCTTGTGTGGGAACGACTACCGAGTCTTCTGTAGTCAAAATTTTCATTTTGCTGCAACTGCCTAGGATGATTACTATCTTCTTCCCTGTTGAGAGAATTGTCACTGGGGAAATATATATATATATCTTTACAATAGAAATATGAAATCATCCTATAACTACACCTGATCTAGGATCTTTTAATTTGTACACTTATGGAGCAACACACTTCGTAATTTCAAAAGATCCATTCCACCTTGGATCAAGTTTTGGCATTAAAATGATTTACTACAGAAGATAAAGGATGTATCCTAAGTAATACTAAATCATATACTTTAATTATGTCTTGGTGTCTCTGATGGTTGTAGGCTTGTCACTCCTGAGCCTTTTCAACATTGGATCTTGCCTCCTGTACAATAACTTGATATTTTGCTCTTTATTCATTTTTGGTTTGAGATGCTATAAGATTTCGCCAGTCTGTCCCAAGGAAGGAAGATCTCGCATCCAAAGTGAAGTTTGGCTGGTGTGTGACCTGTAGACTAATGAATAGAAGTTTTAATGGCTACAGAAAATTCAGATAAACGACTATACAAAGTTCATTGATTTTTTCAATATAAGCAGATATCAATCTACTATTATTTCTGTTTACTCTTTCAGTAATGTAGACTGAGGATGATATGGAGTTGTAATGACATGTTCATACCCATAGCTTGACAAGTTTCATCAATCAGATGTGTCACAAATTGTGGATCATTATCAGATACAATAGTTTTTGGAATAGGCATATCTATACAAGTACTCATTAATCAATTTTTTCACAATCACCTTTGCAGTTATTTGTTTGAGTGGATATTATTCAACAAATTTACTGAAATAATCTGTTACAACCAACAAAAATCTATTTTCTGTACTATACTTAGGATAAGGTCCCATTATGTCTTCTTCTATTATCTCTCCAGGTTCCACTAGTTTAGTGCTTTGCATAAATCCAGCTGGTCGCTTCTGGTCGAATTTATGGTTTGACAAACATGGCATTACAACACATAGTTTTTAATGTCATTGCTCATAATAACCACATCTGGATACTCTGGGGATAGCTTGTCTAAATTAACCACTGCATAGGCCTACCAGCTAACTTTAGAGCTGTCTGTAACTATACACCTGGAAAAAAGTTAAGCACCCCCAAATATTT